GGGTTCTGCCAGATAGAATGGACGGCTACAGAGAAGTCAAAGTCAGACTTGCTGGCATCTGTTAGTCATGAGCTTCGCTCCCCGTTGCATGGCATGCTTGCCAGCACAGAGCTTCTGCAAACCACGTCTTTGGACACCGCTCAACAAGACATGGTCGCCATGGTAGAAACATGTGGTCTCACGCTATTGGACACGATGAATCACCTGTAAGCTCGCCTCCTTCCGTTATATGATGTTTACTAATTCTCGGCAGGCTCGAATTTACGAAAATCAATAACCTGACCCATCTGCGCAAAAGAGGCGGTTCAAATGGTGAAGGGATGGATAATCTGTTGACCGAATTTGACTTGGACGAAATTGTAGAAGACGTGACTGATGCCTTGTACGCAGGCCACCGGTCTCTCATCAAGGCTGCGAAGGTGGCCAGTCGCTACCTACCAGGTGGATCTGCCGTAGGTAACAGGCCTGCTGGTGCACCACAATCGCAAACCGATGATCTGTCGGTGATCGTTCGGATTGAAGACTTGGGCTCATGGCACCTGCAGTCACTCTCTGGTGCATGGAGGCGGATCATCATGAACATCCTGGGGAATGCATTCAAATTCACGAGAACCGGCTTCATTGAAGTTTCCCTGGCGAAGAAGGTGGAAAGGTCCGGCTACACGAAGAAGACTCTAGCCCACCTGTCAATTACGGATACTGGCTGCGGGATCTCGCCAGACTTCCTGGAACACCACCTCTTCAAACCATTTGCGCAGGAGAGCATTTTGACAGAGGGTGTTGGATTGGGTCTGAGTGTATTGAAACAGCTGGTGACATACCTGGGCGGCGAAGTGGAGGTAAAGAGTGATGTAGGGGCTGGTACGCAAATGGACGTGTACATTCCGGTGGAGTTCGTGGAAGACTCCTCCGCAATGGATTGTGGTGCCCCGGGAACGCGGACAATGACCCGGGTGTCTTTGGTGGGCCTCAATGCATACGCAGACCTCAAAGAAGCACCAAGTGGTCTTTTGAGCACAGAAGCGAAGCGTAAGCTGTCGCTAAGAGGCGCACTCAGCAATGTGTTACTGAGCCAGCCTGGGTGGATGGTATCTTTCGCCGATCACCTAGACAAGGCATCCGGAGATATTGCCGTCATCGAGGAATCTACGTTAAAAGCCCTCTCGGAAAGGGGGTTCATCGACGTGAATTTCAAGGCTGTTGTGGTCATTGGCGAACAGGGCGTCACACTCCCCGGAGATTTTGCCATCAAAGGAGCTGATGTCTTCTATGTTCCTCAGCCGTAAGTCTGCTCAATGATTTCTGAAGCTGTCTGCTAATGTTGAACAGGATTGCACCTCGCAAGATCTTGCAAGCTTTACAGCGGATCACAGACTCGAACCAAGGGATTTCGTATGCGGAAAGTCCGATTTTAGGGCCCCTTTCCGGTGTCCCGCTCCGAGGCCGGAGCTTGTCTGATGCATTTGCTATGGCGAAGGGCACGGAATCGCCACCCGTGGTTCGAGAAAACGTGTCTGAATTCGCCCCATCGCCTCCGCGAGAATCGATTAGCAAGAACCTCCACGTCTTGATTGTGGATGACAATGATATTAACCTTAAGGTATGCACACTCCATTAGCTGTCTACAATAAGCACTAACATGTCCAGATCCTCGCCACCTTCCTACGAAAGATCGGCTGCAGTTACGAAACAGCATCCAACGGCCTAGCTGCATTAGAAAAGTACAAAAGTTCTACAAAGCCTTTCGACTACATCCTCATGGGTACGTACATTACCTCTTATTCGCTCGGCATCGCTTACTAATTGTGCAGATATCTCAATGCCAATTATGGACGGAATCGTCTCCTCGAGTAAGATCCGCGAATACGAAGAACAACATTCGCTCCCACGAGCGGCCATCATGGCGGTTACCGGCGTAGCCTCGAGCGAGATGCAACAGCAGGCCTTTGCAGCAGGCATTGACGACTACTTGGTGAAACCTCTTTCACTTCACGACCTGAAACGAATAATGAATATTGCATGATTTTACATATAGATTCGGACGGGTGGCGCGATACGGCGTTGACGGTTTACAGCTACCATACATTCGCTTGGCGTTAATGTCCTAGGTATTTACTGGGAATCAAATATTTACGTGACACGGCAAGTATAGGGTGGATCAGTATAGACTCGAATATGAGTCAGGGTATCTCGAAATGTTCTCATATGTGGAACAGAGTATCTAAATAGATTATTAAATCTGATCAAAAATAATACATATCTTCAGTATAACTGCCCAATAACCTAAGTCATCTCTATTCACGATAAACCACCGCCTCCTATGGTAGCATATCCTATGACAGGGACTCGCCCAAATCAATCGCCCTGTTTCACATGGGTGTAGCTGTCAGAAACCATTTGAGTTTCACGTCTAGAAGGACCAGTGACTAGACGGATCAGGGAGGGCTCCAAAATCCGAAGTGCCACTGAACCGCTTACTGCCGCTTGGTTTTGTGCTTGGTATAGATTTCCCCCAGGTGCGGCAGATTTCGCCTCAATCATGAAAAAGGGAAATCGAAGCCAGAGGGGCGTACCATGCAGGGCGATTGCGGCTTCATATTGACATGACATAGTGTGCTTCGCCAGCAATGAATTGATCGAAATACCCTGTCATCCCTGACTGATAGGTTCTGGACTTTCGCCACTCTTTCAAACGATCCTCTGCTGTCGTTCCTACTAGTTTGTCCTGAAGATCGGCTGATTCATCAATAGCGTCGTCGTCCTCCTCCCCCTCCTCATCGGGAGAAATTGAACGGGAGGCTGGCTGCGGTCGTTTTGCATATGTGCTCGAATGATCATCTTCACCTTCACGACGCTGCTGGCATCCGCGTCATTGGCCTTGGTCTTGAATAGACCTGCTCTATAGAAAGGACACTCCTTTCTTGGAGTATCGCAACACGCTCGCTTAATCATGCGTTTATCCAAGCCCGGGAACTAGGTCATAATACCAGTCACTAGCCGTTGTTGATTTCATGATGCCAATCATGCCCAGCCCGTATCGAAAGACAAGCCAGCGTTTTCTCAGCCCACTCGTCGCTCAAGTCCTCCACCTTGGAGCGGAACTATATTCAGGTCGGCGGCATGTTTGCAAAATACCTGGTTTTGAGCCTGATATCTGAAGCCAGGGTCGAACCATACTACGATGTGTTTCAGAATATTCAAAGCAGAATTTCAGGGCTGACTGTTAGTCTCAAGCCCAACCTTGTTTAAAGAATATCGTCTGGTCATTATACCGCGTGAGCTCATCCAAAGCCCAACTACTCTGGGGGCTGTTCAATGTACCAGAGCTTCGGTTGTTTTCTCTGGTTGACTTCTTGTGTTTGTATGGATCGTGGTGTTCGTCATGCGGGTATTCTGCGCGAACCACTTACTCAATGCTGTCAGTACCGGACAACAACACCAAGTTCCCATTCTTTGCTACCTCCCATGTAGGATTAGGAACCTTGTTCGCCGCCAAGCAGATAACGTAGCCTGTGTCTCCCAGGATGAGACGAAAATTTTATCTATTCTTGGGACCCAGTAGTGAGTAGTCAGAAAAGCGTTGCAGGTGGCCGCTTTTAGATGATTAATGAATGAATTATTCCCTATAGTTCCGGTCCTGTCCCAAAATAGGGCCAGCCGCAGACGATATGCATTGCTGATGGGTACGGTAAGGTCCCTTAGTTTCATGCAAGATTTCGAATCCGCAGGATGATCTGGAAATATAATTCAGGTTCTGATAAAATAATCAGGAGCGAGCGCCCAATCTTGAGGACCTCACTGCTGCAAGAGTGATGGCTGGCCTCTAGCGGTGTGTTTGAAACATCCTGTGTGAGGGCAATGAACATTAGGCACCCAAAGCTTCTGAAACATATGCCGCTGTTGTTATGTAGATCTGCAAGTGTTTCTTATGCCTCATCTACCTTCCTGGATTGACACCGAGGTTATGATACTCGGGAGACTTCAAATGAGTGCTCTCTTCAACAGGTCCATGTTTCCGTTTATTCCTCCATCAGGTCGTTGGGCTCTTTTTCTATTGCCAGGCATCTTGTAGTTCCTGTAAATGTGTTCTATTTGTAGGAATGCTTAGGGTATTCATGTGATGAGCTAACCAATTTGATGTCCAAGTACATGGAAGTGGTCTCTGTATTTCTCAACAGGTAGTTTCCACTGGTAAAGAGTAATACTCGTCCCCCGTATCCAACGGCAGCCATGTCGTGCTCTTAAATCTGGTATGTATCCATGCTTCGATGATTTGAACTTAAGGTTCGCACACATCGACACACAAGATAATAGTGTGATATCCCAAGTGTCTGCCAGACCATTGGACCACTCGACCTCTTAAAAATAAAACTGAATGATGTGTTGTCTCCAAAATCTGGCTAATTCCGTTGTTGACTGGATTGGATCATCGAGATTATTATTATTCGCATGTACGACAATTCATATCTGTCGGCCGTGTGACAATCGAGGAGAGCAGGACTACATCATGCTCTTGTCCAACGGTATCTTCCCAACTCGAATGTATCCATAGGAATCAGTTACTATCACTTCCGTGCTCATAAAGGCTGGTAATCGCCTTCTCATCCACCCTAGTATAGCACTCCTACCACGAATCGGGGATCAGTGTGACAGTCGAGTTGAGCTTGATAATAACGGTGGTTAACGAATATAGTTATGTCTGATCACTGTAGCGGGATCTCAACTTGGTGAGATAGTGTTGAGTAGAAGACAGCCGTGGCATTTTGTGAGGAGGGTATCTGATATTTGTAGAGAACTTGAGTTCCCGCAGATGCTCCAAGATAGAAAGGATCCGGGGAGGATAAGAGATCCACAAGGATAGTGGAGTGAGAGAATGGGTAGGATCCTGCATATACAGACTATATGAGTAAAGGACAAAGGTTATGGACAAGCCAGGAAGACTAATCCTTTCGCCAAAAATTTGATCTTGTATTGCCGTCCTCAAAGTCCGCCTGGAAGATTCAAGCGGCCTCTTTATCTTCATACCTTGGTTGAAATCGCCGGCGCTGCTCTGGGTGTTGTTGCGATGAAACTAGATAATTAGCGTGCATCATGTCATGTTTACGAATGAAGAGGGGTGATATATGAAAGACATTGGATAAGATTAGATAATGTAGCAATAAGAAAAGAACGATCAACCCAAGAGCAGTGAGTGCTTCGTCAATCAGACGCAGAAGATCACGAACATAGTCTTCAAATGATCTTGCCAGAGCAGCGGGAGCCACACGAGTATGCTGGGTACCGTATTCCAAGAGTATGTTGTCACGAAGGTCAGCCAATGTCAATAGCATGAGGTCGCGAAGATCGTCCCTTCCGATATTGAGTGGGAGGCTGTGTTCAGTCAGAACGGCTTGTACACCTGCAAAGGTCACGCCGAGGGGCTCAGTAGTCTCATTGTTATTGGACGTAGCCTCGTCGGCATCAGAAGCATTGGTGGTGTTCGCAGGAGATGACATTGCGGCTGCAAAACAGGAGAGAGGCCCAACAGATGAGGAAGGCATTTCTCAAGTCTCGAATGAATTGATCGAGTAGATTCCAGGTATGTTGTAGCCCTTCGAGTATTGATGATTAGAATGCAAGTCGCCACTAATGTTTGCGTTGGATCCTAACCCTCAAGCATGGTGCTCATATCGTATCACTGTTGTCAGAGAGCAATCGTTGGAGAAATATGGAAACATAGCTCATTCAAAACAATTGCCTAAAAATGGAGGCTAATGGCTTCTGCGAGCAGACAGATTTAGACCAAGTGGTGTAGGTCCCAAATAATACTTTTCGTGTGAGAAGACAAACAAATCCCGACGCATTTTGTAAGTTGGAACTTTAGAATCAGCGATGCCATGACACCTTCTGTGGTCTTTAAGTGAGACAGTGCTAGCAATAATCATAAAACTTTATTTCGAGGTGTAATATCCATTTCGATATGGAGGTTATCACTGTGAAGACAGTCGTTACTTTACAGCGTGATTCAGCATGGAGTCCTGATTGGAAGAAGATCTAGGTACTGCCTTATCATCGGTATATCGCCTCTATATCCATAGCAACATTCTTGCATGCAAACATCCATCTTGGGCTCTTCTGGTGCCGTGGTTCAGTCATCTCGCGCACATCTGTACGGCTTGCATAGTTATTTGCTTTCGTACTCGGTCCATTGGTTGATCATGTCATTATAGAGCTCAAGATACATAGTCAGTAATGAGAGAACGCACTTCTTCATCACCTTCTTCTGCTTTGCATATATAGTCTGGGCTGTCACTGCGGGTTGATCATAGTCGATTTCCGGTAAAATTGAGAATGATCCCGACAGTGCGTATCACTTCCTGCACCCCTGTTTCCGGGGAAATTTGTGAGCCTGACCGTGATACTAAGGGACATGTACTTATCATTCAACTGCAAGCTTGTCTGGTTCATAGGTTGTTTTATTCACCATATAGTATTGTTTAGAAACGGGTCTGTTGTTGCTCTTTCGGCCTTCCTCGTCAATAAAGGACACTGACCCGCCAGCTTTCTTGGACAGAAATGGACGGGCATTGAATAAGAACTATGAGCCTCTCCAGTGGCAGACAATACTGTATTGGCCTTTCTCAAGTAGAGCATTCTCGAATAGCAACATGGCCATCTGGCGTCCTCCACGCATATGACTCATTCCCGCGACAGATCAGGAGAAAATGTGCCTCTAACAAATTTCCTTTCCGTAAGATTGCTGCTTCTAAAAGCGTCATGTATATATAGAAACGACCGCTTTGACGAAACCTTGCAGAATCTTTTGTTGCACGTGGAAAAGGACACCCTGACAGAAGTTGCAAGTGAATCATGCAACCTTACGCTATCCCTATTATCTAATGCGCAACACTTGGTCAAAGCTAGATCTTGATATATAAAGACGCTTCATTTCAGTTGGTCCGCAATTTTGCCCCTGTTGTAAACGTATCTATCGTTCTGTTTGATAACGTTTAACAAGTGTAAGTGCGGGTGTTGGAAAGTATATTGGAGATTTTCCAATGACACAGACTGCGGGCTTTAAAGCTCACTGGTCAAACCATAGATCGCGTAGTATATATAGTAAGGAAACACCTTCGTCTTTATCTTCTCCAACCGCAATGGGCATATTCTGCACGAAGGTAACTACTCCATGCAAGCTGAGTACGGCTCTTCAACCTTTGCATAAGCAGCTAGATCAGGCTATCTGACATAGAGACCCTTGTGGGCTTATACTCGAGGTAACTCAATTCAGAGATAGCGTAAGCTGAGATGGTTAAATATCTGAAACTTGGTTGTCAAGAATACTAATCCCAGCCTCATAGTAGAAGCTTAACACCGTCTATTGGATAGAATTCCGCGTATCTGCCGCTTGCATATGTCTTCCGAATATAACAAAGCGAGCGTTTGGCACCGGATACCATGACATACTCAGACTTAATGTTGATCGTAGTTGGTGCTACAGCGGTGGACGTTTCATTTCAAGCCCTACAATGCGAACATTAGCAACTAAGCGTGAGCTGAATATAGAGAACTTACTATACTAATTATCAAACCTAGACCGGGTTTTGCAATTGGCGCATGTTCTATCCAATGAACAAGACACAATGTGTCTCTGCATTTCTTTCAGGGCCCACGAATTCGTGAGACTTCAAGCGAACATAGATAGTTCTCATCATTCAATTTTGACAAGACGACGATCACTTTATCTGTCATGATGGTAGTTATATATACTAGAAGCATATATTGCCATGCAGAATGGGGCAAAGGCTCCAATAGCATTATCGATATTTCAAGGCGCTTCTGTAGCCACTAGGTCAAACTCAGCTTTGTACACATTGTAGTTCTCCTCTGCAACACGGAGTTGCTTAATCTTGGCAGTGATTACAATGCCCGTCAGGCTCTTGGCTTGCATTCCCTTTTGTAGTCGGTTCTTTATAAAACGCAGACATGTTTGGAGTCATCCATTTCAGTGCGTAGTATCTTAATGGAACACCGATGTGTCTGGGACGTTTATCTCATGAAGAATCTCCGTCGACAATCATCGCGGGATTCAGTATCTGTCGGGGATGTAGACGAGGCATGAGAAGAAAGCCTTCTTCTCCCAGTTCTATTTTCCCTTCTCTGGCTCTGATGCTGACTTTGCCACGAGTGTTGTGGTGACTGTTGGGCTTGAGTTTATGGGTGGAAAATTGAACCTTGATACATCCACAAGCGTTACAGTTTCCGCTTTTGTGAGGGAAGTGGTATATGTGTGGAATATAGGTAATGTAGATAAGGTGACCCAATGCTATCTTTGAGGCATCAAGATAGTAGGGAAATAAGGTATATGGAAGAATTTATATAGTGCTGAAAGCCTGGGGAGTGTAGTAGAAGAAGAATAATTTGACGTAAGGAGGGAGGGCAGGAATATATAGTCCGTCTTTCGGAGGCAGTGCATACTAGTGGGTACATTCCGACTACTATGAATGAAGATATGGAATAGAGTTGATAAGGTGAAGCACTAATTAATTAACTAGCTATCGACATGGTGAAAATCATTATCGTCAATCTGACATCAATGGCAAATATTGAATCAAGAAGAATAATATCACAAGCATACATCCCATCGCCTATTCAATTATTTCTTCTTTCCAGTCAGGCCCAGGGAATCCGTCAAGGAAGTTAATCCCAGACTGCCAAGCAACTTATCCAGTCCCAGTCCGCCCAGCAATCCATTCACCAGGGGACCCAAACCAAGACCTTGCAACAACCGGCCCACCAGTCCGAGGACACCATTCAACAGCAGGCCAACGGCAGTGATAATCTGGCCGAGGGGCTCGCTGAGCAGTGCCCACAGAGGGTTGAGCTTCTTCTTGGCATGAGGCATGCCTGCAATCCTCTTCTTGCCGTTGTCAATGGTCTTGACAACCAGATCGGTGAGCTCCTTGAGCTGCTCAGCCAAGGCGTATTCCTCTGAAGAAGCTTCGTGAGAAGCAGCACGGGCCTTGGCCGTGGCGGCGACATGACCATCCGGGTCGAGAGCGCGGATGGCCCCATTGCATTCCTGCAAGATTTGGTTGCCCTCTTCAAGGAGCGGCTTCACATCCTTCACCAGCTGCTCCTCGTCAAGTTCGTCCTTGGGTGTGCGGTCTGCCTTCTCGATGTGCTATCAAAGGGTTAGTAATGTCACGGTGATCAAAGTAGCTGAACATACCTCGGAGATCATCTTGCAGACAGGACGGATGCGGTCCAGTGTCTGGGCAATAATACCGCTCATCTTCTTAGCCAACTGCTTGTCTTCCTCTATCTTCCGCTGAGCTTCCTGCTCCTCGGGGGAGATCTCCGGCTCCTGGGGTTCCTCCTCAGGCTCCTCAGGCTCCTCGGGCTCGGGTTCGGGTTCGGGAATGTTCTCAATCAAAGTGCATTCTCCGATCTTGTTACCATCATTGTCCACCACGTATCCGTTATCGTCGATCTCCTTGCCGATGAGAGATGGCAGGTTGCCAGAGGTCAGCTTGCCAATGAGATTACCATCAGCATCGCGCACCTCACCCTCACGGTTGACCTTACGGCCCGACATCGGGTTAACATCACGCGGCTTCTCCTCGGGCTGCCAGCGCTCAGCTCGGCCGATAGTGTTTCCGTTCTTGTCCAAGATGTCGCCATCCTCGTCAACCTGGCGGCCCTGGAGACGCTGCGCATCGCCTTCAACAATGCGGCCAATGATCTGACCCGAGGCATCAGTGATAACGCCGTCCTTTCCGACCACGGGATTCTCGAATCCGTAGAAGGCGCCTTCGGGCTTCTGCTCCTCGGCTCCTGGGATGAGCTCAGCTGTGCCAATTACTTTGCCGTTATCACCCCAGATCTGACCCTTGCCATCAACCTTCCGTCCAGCAAGGCGCTTGTCACCAGAGGTAATCCTTCCGAAGACGTTACCCTGGGCATCCACAACGTTGCCAGCCTTGTTGACAGTCTTTCCTTCCAAGATCGACAAGTCCGGTGCCTCCTCCTCCGGCTCTTCTACTTCATAGGGCTCTGCACGGCCCTTGACGTTGCCGTATTTGTCGATGATCTCTCCATCCTCATCAACAGCACGTCCACGCAAGTTCTTGATGTCGCCCTCAATGACCTTGCCGACGACATTGCCATCGTCATCTTCGACGAGGCCTTCCTTGTTTACAACAAGGTTCTCCAGTCCGGCGAATGGGCCTTCGGCTGATTTCTCCCGCTCTTCCGGGGGAATAAGCTCAACACGTCCAATCGGCTTGGGTCCGTCCCAGATCTGGCCGTCATGGATCTCCTTGCCGGCAAGTTCCTTCACCTTGCCTTCCACGACACGGCCAATCGGGACGCCCTTTGGTCCAATCACGTAGCCGAGCTTGTTAGGAGTGAGACCTTCCAGACTGGAGAGGTCAGGGGCTTCCTCCGGCTCGGGCTCGGGCTCGTCTTCGGCCTCATAGTATTCAGCCTTGGCGATGACATTGCCGTTCTTGTCCAAGACGTCTCCATCTTCATCGACGGGACGTCCAAGGACCTTCTTGGGATCGCCTTCGCTGATCTTGCCAACACGCTTACCATTCTGGTCCTCCACCCAACCATCTTCAACAACGTGGAGTCCCTCCAACCCGCCAAAGGGCGGTTCATCGGGATGCTCCTCGACGGGAAGGGTCTTGGCCTTTCCAATAACGTTGCCGCGGTTGTCCCAGAACTGTCCCTTGTCATTGAGCTGGGCTCCCAGTCGAGAGATCTTCTTCGCATCGCCCTCGATCAATTCACCGACAGGCTTACCGGTTTCCCGATCGACGATCTTGCCCAGCTTGTTGCACTTGAGACCCTCAAGCGTAGAAAGGGGAGGAAGGTCATCCTCTGCTTCTTCAGCAGCCTCCTCGACATCTTCCTTGGCTTGATCAGCGTTTGAAGTGTCCCTCTGCTCCGCATCATCGACAGCCTCACGGCTCAGCTTGCTAGCAGGTCTCTGGGAGCTGGCAACGCTCTCAGCGCCTTGGCGGGCTTGGGACGCAATATCGACACGGCCAATTAGATCACCATCATCGTCCAAGATATTCCCTTCCTTGTCGGGGGCGTAGCCTGCCAATTCCTCGGGATTGCCCTCGACAAGCTTGCCGATCGGCTTCCCTTGGTCGTCTTTGATAGCGCCAGATGCCGACACAGGACGATCAGCCAAGGCCGCAATATCGGTGATTGGTTTCGCTTCGGGTACTGCTTCAGCTGCTTCTTGAGCTTGAGATGCGATCTCTACCCGACCGATAAGGTCACCATCATCATCGAGAATATTTCCTTCCTTGTCAGGAGCATACCCAGCCAAATCCTCAGGGTTGCCCTCAACAAGCTTGCCGATGGTGTTGCCATCATCATCCTTGATTTCCCCAGACTCTGAGACAGGACGATCCGCCAGCTCGGCGATATTGTTGATGGTTTTTGTTGCCTGATCGGTTTTTTCTTCGGCCTGCTCCTGGATGCTGCCAACGTCATTCTGGAAGGCCTCGGGAAGGACATCGGCAACTCCGACGAGATCCCCATCCTCGTCGAGGATCTCTCCGTTGTCACCAACAGTATATCCGGTCAGATATTCGGCCTGGCCTTCTGCAAGTCGGCCAATGGCATTGCCATCTTGGTCATGAATTAGACCATCCTCGCCGACTTGCAGACCCTTCAGAACAGACAAGTCAATCTGGCCGACGCCTTGGTCTTCGACGCCATTTTGCACACTCTGCGCAGTGTCCTGGGCTTTGTCTCCAAGATCAGAGGCGGGTCTTTCGATCTGGCTTGCCGATCCAGATGCCTGGGACTGGGCATCATCTGGGACCGGAGCAGGGGAAGCGCGCTGCTCCGACTGCAGCTGCCTGACCTTACCCTTGGGGGTGGGGGTAGAGGGGGCGCTTGGCTCCTCGGCCTGGGAGGCTGATCCCTGGGCCTGAAGCTTGGGAGGGGTCTTCTTCTGGGGGGTCTGCTGGCGGATCTTGGGTGGGGTTCCTCGCTTAGAGTCGGGGCTGAGGTTGAGCTTGGAGACTTTGCTTGTCATAGGAGAGGCCATAGTTGATGTATTAGATGGGATGGATTGCTTAGACGTAAAAGGATTAGAGAAAAATGCGCCGATCTTGATTGGATAGTTGTCTTAGAGTAGTAGAGGTAGCTGATTTGTCGTCGCGTTCGTCAGTCGTACAGCCTTTTGTAGCTCGTGATTCGTCAAGTAGAAAAAATTGAGAAGTAGATAGCAATTGTAAGGTTTGATCTTGAGGTTAAGGTCAGGTATGTGTCAGGTATGTGCAGGAATAAGTTATTGACTAGATGCTTACCATCAGTCCAACGCTTCATGGCCCTTTAAATGCATCTACTATGCAGCGAAGCCCACTTACGTCATTGCGCCTGGATCAAATCTGGGGTGTTATCATCCCCGTCACCATCGAGCAGATACATGCAGGGCCTCCGTGGCGTAGGAAGCCTGTCACATCATCGCTGCAAGCAGCACGATGGCGTGCAGGATCAGCCCATCAGATTCACGGAATCTAGAATCGAGCACAGAGACAAAGAATAGAGACAAAGTAGATGAAGGCTGACCCACTGCCCCAGTTAGCGCGGAGAGCTGGATCATTCTTGCGTCAGAAGTGGATGGATCATCTCTGCTGCTTTCCTTCTCGAGGAGATTAACTGGGGCATTCTATTCTTGTCCGCTGCAAAGACACCTGATATCAGGTGCCTTAGTGCAGATTAGTCAGGAACCATGCCTTCGAGCCCTGACAGCTCCATAATATTTACTACAATAGTTTTCTCACTGTCATATCTCACTGTCAATATCCCAACTTCGAAATACATCTCCAGTATCGCCCAATAAATCCGAGCATCATCACATCCCGTCAACAGTAACACAATGGTACAGAAAACAGGATATCAAGTCCGCGGCCGAAAGTTTGGCTCTCAACCACGGATCGCAGGGCATCGCATTGTCGACACGCGGCCGAGCATCGGATAACGTCATCCCGTACCACCTCCAGCACTTGAAGGAGCATTGACTCCCCAGTCAATAAAATGAGATCTGACATGTAACGGCTAGGATCAGATCCAATGAGCGGACAACGTGGCTCTGTCGCGATTCAGCAATGATGGCATTGTGGGCGGTTTATCCTCCGATTCGTGTTGCAGATGTGGGGAATGATCTCATCCGTGGACGGGTCAGCTTCAGGCCGGAGATTGACGCTGTGGCTTGGTCGAAGTTCGACTTTTATGATTCTTATCTTAATATCAGGTATTATTATTGAGGATGATGTGAAGAAAAGGAAATTACCAAAACAGGAATCTTTCTCTTCTACACTCTCATCCTTATCGTGTATGGGAAATACCTACATTTCCGCAGCCAATTACTAGCATGTCGGAGAATTAGCATCTCCCTCTAGCAGTTGATCCCGCGCCACAAGCGACTATCTGACACTATTTCCGATCTTCTACACATCAAACCTTCCACTCCACTGACCCGGAAATCCAGGTCCCGAAATATCAGACCCTATGTTTTGGATTTCGCATCATTTACTGAAATATCGTGATAAATCTATCATGATCGTAGGTTGCGGTAAATAGTCTGAAGCTTTAGTCATTCTTGTGCACGTTTGTCATTCAGACCTGCATTAAACGATTGCGAATAAAGGCTAAGAAATATGCATGGACTATGAAGTACTAATCACCATATTTCGAGCACACTACAGGCCACACTGCGGTTTATCAGCCCTCGCGAGCCCCAGTTATACGCTTGGATCTGTCCTTAGAAGATTATTTCTGCCTAGGCCACCCCTGTGAGAAGGTAGGCCTATCGGTGTACTCAAGTGCACCCGTGAACCTCTCGATAATGCACGGAATATTAAGTATGATTTAGGGCAGTAGAAAAATTGCAGGTCATCTCTGCCGATCAGAGTTCGTTGTCCGCGTGTCTGGTTGCAGAGAGTCGACCAGAAGCTGAAAGGCCGCCGCGCTGCAGAGATTGGTTATAGATGCATACGGATCCTTCCCCAATGATGAGAATGCAGAAGAGGAGGCTTTACGCACTATTCAAAATAGCCATCATCGAAGCTATGTATACTTGAATAACTTGACTGCAGAATTAGATAGGCATATCAACTTCTTATCAGTGTGTTAGGGTCTGTAGGCTATCTTGAGGAAGACTAGACTTGAGGTCTACTTACACATTCCCTGCTTCATAACCAAAAAAAGTTGAGCACATGCGATACTCTTGCCTTTCCGTACATTCAGTCTACTACGTAGTAGTAGTTCCTGGGTATACCCACAAAACAGCGACTCCATATCCCACGCTTAGGTGAAGTTTGACCCCATACCGTTATACGCCATCCCAATAAAGCCAGAAGTATACAATGGTATAAAATGTACAGATTACCAGTTCGGCTCATTCAAAAAAGTCCCATCCGAAACAGACATTCGATGAACTGGAGCTATAGAACAATCAATCACAAAAAGGTACAATCACAATAGCAAACTCTAAACTCTCCAAGTCTATTCATCCATCCAGCCACAGTGCGCGGACTGACGTAATGGTTGGAGATCGGGTGGCGTATGCGACGATGACTGGCCACGCTAGCGGGTGGGATATTAATCTATCTTTAATTTATTTTCCAGGGCATTATCCGGTCACTCCAAGATTTGGGGTTTTATGTGGATGTCCTGTTCGAGAAGTGATCTTCATACATTATATTGATTTGTTATATGTCCTGAATGGTAAGGCTGTTCAGGGATACTTTTCTAAATTCTGTGACGAGCAAAAGGGATGAGGCAACAGTATATGTATTTCACTAGTTGAATGGGCCCTCTATTTATTCATGAATAGAAAAAGCCCTGAATTGTCGGTTTTGGTAATGGTAGTGGGGCTTTGTTGATGTCGTTTTGGTCATGTCGACTAGAGACTTCCATCCATGTCATAGTAGAGTTTTCTTGGATACTGTACCACTTTCATAATTAGATATTCAAAAGATAGCCTATACAAATTCTTATCTAGTTTGATTGGAATGTTGCAGTTGCAGACAACGCCGGAAACACGGTCTTTTTGAACCCATTACACATTCGGTCGAAGGCTAGGTACGGTCGATGGCAGCTCAACAAGGTATAAAGTATAACAGGTGATAATTCTTCACATTGACTTTGCGATGCATCGTTTTTACTTTGTTTCATATATCACATTTTGGTACAATCTGGGAGTGAGTGATACAGTGGCCCGTCTTCTGGCCATAACCGAGTCCGACACTATACATGCACATCCATCAACATCTCACTAAGAATCCATATTCAATGTATGCTAACTTCATACCGGGTTGAAGTTGGCAAACCACGGACAACAAGGGGTCTTTCATGCAGGAAGTAATTCCTGGCCGGTAGACCCCTTTACTACAACACTCATTTCGTGGCCCTGGACGAGTATCAACATGATCACACTGGATACAGATGAGGAAGTCTTCAACTCACCGCTTATCTGCCTTCCTCAGCTCCTGCAGTATTCGATCATATTTCTCAAACTGACTTCCGGGGATTTTCTTGATGATCACCTCCTTATGCTTTCTTGTCCATCCCCTCCCACTTGGGCCCGGTCTCGTAGCACCATGCACCGCCCCTCCGATCATCGGATCAAGGAAACGACTGACTTCCCTATTGCCTGGGCTGACGAACAAAGGGTCATCTAATTCACCATCGAGTTCGCACTCTTCCTCGCAGGCGAGAACCTCAAGGTCCGGGTCGGTGATAGTGGGATCGTACGAAGACCAGTGATGAGCTGCTTCGTCGTCGGTGCCCGACTTGGTATTCTCGTTATGCTCAGGTCGGAGTAGATGCCGGTCCAGATCGGACTCGAGATGTCTTTCTTTGTGGATGGTTTGGGAAGTCACAAGGCAGCGATGCTGGTAGGAAGATACCGACGGGTGGCACAGCTGACCAGCTCTTGTAGTTACGGGTATAAATGGATGGGATCTGGAGCTGAGGAGTTTCGTATTTCGCAACATGCTTAGCGCACCCTTAGCTATAGTAATATGTGCTGTAGATTGAATTCGGTTTATCAGTTCTCGATCGGAGCGATAGTTCAGTTGATGCAGAAGTGGTGACGGGAATGGCGGGGAAGATGCATGGGGGATGCCAGTTGGGGGAGCCGCTTGGACCGTCCGCTTCTGACGTCAGGACTTGCCCTGCCAACAATGGCCTTTGTGAGGAGTACCATTGGTCAGACAGCTCGGATGTATACCTGGAAATCAGGTTCCATGTAACTCAATTCATGTATTAACCTCGGAGGCAGGCTGGTTTGTCTAGCTTGCCTCTATTGGAATATACCCCTACATATTCTTCTCCCACGCGGATATATGAATCTGCGATCTGCTAGATCGAAGCAATTTGGACAAGAGTTATGGTCTCACTTGCTATGAGTATAGGTCTGGATGTGAGAAGAAACAGAATGAAAATCAAACGATGAAACTGCGGCGATATCAGCTGCATTAGACGCTGGACGATACCTTAGTCTCAGGACATTATGAGTACCACCACATCCCAGTCGAGAAGTGGTAGTATTGAATAGTGCATCTCAGGCATTTAGATCTTGGGTATCTTGATCTACTTCATGGAGATACTAGATGCGGAACTGAATGCATGCATACACGCTCACATCTCAAACATAAATACTATCACAAAACGATATTGCGACATAAGACAATGCTATGGCGAAATGTCTTTGCATGTGTCAGGTGATTAAGAATCATCTTTTATAGAAGCTCTCCTCCTTCTTTCTCACCGATGTGCCAGGATGTGGTCAAAAAAGCCTCTCCCACAGGCTCCCAAGTTCTGGTTATCCTACAGGCTTTCTGAGCTAGCAGTTGACATGCTAGGCGACATGAATAATGACAACAGATAATTTAGTCGAAATTTAGAGGTAGGAAATGGTGTTGGACCAGGTGTCTCGGAACTTCTCTACGTTGGGTTGCATTCTGTCTCCTGTCTTCTTACCCTGAGCGTGCCGCGATTTTCGGTATGCCTGGCTTTCCACCAGTTGTCCACTTCCTGCAAACAACATCGTGAGCTCCTCTGAATTACTAGATTATGAAAGACATTGTGCTAACAGGTGTTTAGACCTGGCTTCAGTCTGCGCTAGAAGAGAACCCCTCATTCTACCGATGCCTAGCTGCTCAACAACAGCAGAAGGTCACCTGAACACTGCTCGGCAATTCCGTCGGCTGTTCCCCAAGCCCTGTCCATATATGCCGCGCTCTAAGCGTGGAGTTATACTAGGCTGCGGCTGGTAGCGAGCGAATGCCCTGCTGCAGCAGCACGATCAAGACCCGAGTCCCCACACGCCACCCCACAGCAGTCCGGGGAGATGGGGCCCTAGTATCGCATCAGGAACGATTCCGCTTAGTTTTCAGTAGAACTCGGGCTCTCCGCATCTTATCTTCGCTTAAGCGACCCTGTCGACTTGTCGATCTAGCACGAACCCCCACAATGTCATCACTTGCTATTACGTTCCGGAACTTCTCCGCATTCGGAAATCCCATCATCCAATCCCTTTGACAGATGGCACCTCCACTGACTCACTTCGACTTCCCAAGAGCTCATGGATATCTGCTACTAACATGTTCAGACAGGGCATGTTCGGCGAGGTCCATCTCACCCACCGCGAAGACTTTACCGAGGATACGCTCGGACTTCCTCAGGTTGGGCATCCAACATAGACTACTTTCTTTAGCTGGAAGAACGGCAATGTCCACTTTCCGAATCGTTATGCCACAGGGCTCTTCGTCCTGTTACCCCGCTGGTGCCCACTGCTTCGAGCTGGGATTGCCGATATAATGGCCGAAACTGCATATTATGATATCACATACGGGGACGCTCGCGAGCTATAAATCATGTCAATTCCTTTGCCACGGCTCCTTGGATACTAAGCCTGCTTCAAGGAATCACAGAAGACTCAAAATGCGCCAATTCAGCAGCTACAATGCTGCAAATCTCCTCACTCTTTTCCTGGCCACAAATTCTGCCGCAGAGTCTACCTGGCCCCAGCAGACCTTCCGCAGTACCTCTATCCAAGCGCCATATCTGAACGTCACCAAGAATGGCAAAACAGAACTAGGCAACCTCTTCTTCTCTCCGTCCTCCTCGAGCATGGAATGGAGCTACCCAGCCATATACTCCGACGACGGTCAGCTTGTATGGCAAGGCCCCAATGCCAACACATCCGCCTACCAGCCCCAAATGCTAGACGGCGAACCCGTCCTCGCCTACTGGCAGGGCGCCAACTACCTAGGCTATGGCTTTGGAGCAATCAGCATCCTCAACGCCTCCTACCAGGAGATCCACCGCATAACACTCCCCGGGACTGACCAACACTTCGTCACCACCGCCGACCCGGAAACCTTCCCCTCCTACATCGACATCCACGAGAGCCAGATCACCTCAGACGGCACGATCCTCGTAACAGCCGTGAACGTCACCCAATGTGACCTCTCCCCAATCGGCGGCCCCAAAGATGGCTGGGTCCAAGACGGGCTCTTCTACGAAATCGACATCAAGACCAACAAAGTCCTCTTCCGCTGGAGCACAGTCGAACACCTCTCCGAGATCCCCTTAACAAACACCGAACTCCCCCTCCTAGGATCCGGCACCAGCAAGACCGATCCCTACGAATACCCCCACCTCAACTCCGTAGCCAAATACGGCGACTCCTACCTCCTCTCCTCCCGCTTCATGTGCAGCATCTTCCTCCTCGACAAACACGGCAACGTAACCTGGCACCTCCACGTACGTCCTTCCCCTCCCATTCCCTCCTTCTTCCCCTTTACCAACTAACACACCCACCCACAGGGCCAAAAAGGCGCCTCCTTCACCCTCCTCCCCGGCAGCAGCTTCTGCTACCAACACGACCCACGCTTCATCAACTACTCTCCAAACGCGACATCCCTAACACTACACCTACACAACAACGAAAACGCTAACGTCTTCACCTCCCCCACAACCATCACCACCGGCCTAACCCTCACCCTCGACATGCAAAACCACACCGCAACCGCCGTTCGCAAGCTCTGGAACCCCGACGCCCCCCTCTTCGCCGTAAGCCAGGGCGGCTTCCAGCCTCTTCCGAACGGACACGTGCTGCTCCAGCACGGCGCGATGCCGGTGATTGAGGAATACGATGAGAACGGGGCGTTGGTGATGAACGCGCGGTTTGGGTTCGATGAGTCGACGCAGTCGTATCGTGGGTATCGGTTCCGCGAGTGGGTTGGGAAACCGACGACGAGGCCGGAGGCGGTGGCGTGTCGGGAGGGGGGCAGGGTGGTGGTTTATGTGAGTTGGAATGGGGCGACGGATGTGAGGGGGTGGAAGGTAAGGATGGGGAGTGAGTTGGGGGTTGTGGGGGATGTGAGGGAGAAGAATGGGTTTGAGACGAGGATTGTGCTGGATGGGGTGGTGGGGAGGGATGGGGAGAAGGTGGTTGTGCAGGCTGTTGGGGGGGTCGGGGATGGTGTGCAGTCTGGGGTTGTTAAGGTGGGTGAGGGGTGTTCATAGTATGATTACTTACTACTAGTCGACTGTATATAGCTAGAGTAAGGTATATATCGTGAATGATTTATTTCATTATATGAATTAATGCTTGGTGAGTAGGCCATAATGATATCAACGGTAGTCCTCACATGCAAGGCTTTAAATATACAAAAGGGTATTAAACGCTACGCTTCGCTTCGTCTCATGCGCCTGCCGCATAATCCATCTACAGCTTCGAACTAGGCGTAATGGCCTTCCTCCTCATTTGCCTTATGGAGACATCAACCTCCTCCGCCGCAGCGGGACTAGGACTCGCGTCCTCGAATAACTTGCGGCCCACGACATCCGACATGTGCAGAACCCGCGACGAGACTGTTGCGCCGTCACGGCGGTTTTTGCTTCGAAATGTCAGTATACCAGACCAATGGATGTAATCAATAACAAGGAAGAAAGATTATGGGTCAACTCACCCCTCACGTCTGGACTGTGCAATCAGCTCAGTAAAGTCCCAGAGGCGACCACGAGGAAGAAGCTTTCCCGTGGTTGGATCCCGCTCAGGCGTCCATTCGGGGGCAAGCTTCATCGTGGATAACTTTGATCCTTTGCTTTTGGCGACTTGGATAATGCCTTCCTCTGCGAAGCGTTGGTAGGAGTTTCGGAGGGTCTCCTTGTTGACGGCTTCGAAGTAGGAGAGGTCGCCTTGGTGGTAGAGGGTTTTGCCGAGCTGGGTTGTATGTTAGTGGTTGCTAGAAAGGATTGGGGGTGAATTGAATTACCAGTTGGGCGCTATTTTGGGCCTTGTTCAGATCAATCCAGACATCTTCAGCGCCGTTGAGGGGGGGCGTCAGCCCTAGGAGTGAGACGGAGCCGAGCCAGGAGGCTTCGATGAATGGCCACACAAGGAAGCAGTAGAAGTCATAGTTTTCGCGGCCACATTGCCGTTCTGCGTCGCTGAGCTCCACGAATTGTGGCGCGCCGGCCGCGTCTCGGCTCACGGTGATTATGTTGTCTCTTTCGAGTCCACGCAGGGTCTTTTCCATGTTTGTTGTCAGGCCCTCAGGAGGGAAGATGAATTCGCCACGGAAGAGCTGGTTTGGTTAGCGGGGAGAATCCTAGGGTATGATGATAGATTTGACTCACCTGAGATAGGAACGAAACCTGGTTCAGGAGATCTTGGTAGGAAATGCGCTGATAAGACGGCCCGCCGCCTTGCTTGATTCTCGTATACATTCCCGCAGACACCAGCGCTTCCGTGATGAACAAGTGGATGGTCATGTTGCGGTAGAACGAAAGCTGGAAACGATCCACAGCATAGTATGTCGGTTCGACCAGTCCGCTCACCTCGCCCACAAGCTGCGGCCCCAAGACCTCTAGCGCACGGTCGACAACGACATCCGTTGGGTAACGATAGAAGTGAGCGACCCGTCCGCCCTTTGCTCGAACACGTTCACACAGCCATTCGACGCGCCGGACCATTTCACCTTTGCCGACGCCTCGACCGCGAAGCGTAAGAAGGACAGTGCCAACCAGAGCTGTAGGCATCATTACAGACACATCGTTAATGTCAGACAAGACCCTGTATCCCAGGGATCTCAAAACCCGGCCTCTATCAGCATAGCTCAGCTGCGGCCCACCATTTGCGACAATTTGTTCCGGCATTCGTGTCAATTGCTGGTTGATGAACTCTCTCAAGCTCCATGGCTCGTGGAATCGAACATCAACCCGACCGAGCTTCAGAGAGAGGACGGAGGACGAGGACAGGAAATCAGCCAGGTTTTCCTTTCTCTTCGGTTGACCAAGCAGTTCGCTGATGTAGGACCTGAACGTATGGTTAGTATTCAGTAGTCAATTATCAGGAGGAGAGCACATACTCAGTCTCAATCACTTTGTCATACTGTGTGCTGACAGGGCATATGATGGTGTCCTCAACGCGACCGGAAAGAACACTGTCCAAGATAAAGCTAAGAATGCCGAATTTGGGTGAAAGAAGCTTTCCAGTTCTCGAACGACCACCTTCGATGAAACATTCAAAGTTGAACCCTTGCTGCAGCATGGTATCAATATAAGCCTGTACAACGGTGTTATATAGCGGATCGTTTCCAAAGCTCCTCCGAATCCACATCGCGCCTAGGCAAGTCAGCAAGCGCATTAGGTTCTGAGGCGTATCAAGCCATACCTGCATGCTGGAGAAAAGGGCCCAGCATCGGGATATTGAGATTCTCTCCCGCCACCACGACCGGAAGCCCAATTCCAAGGCGATAGCAGATAAGCTGGAGCGACACATAGTCGACATGCGATTTGTGACACGGCAAAAAGACAATGGATTGCTTCTTGGCGGCTGCCTCTTGCGCAAAAGATCTCAGCCGGAGGACTTCTTCGCTAGACACGTGTATTCCTGAGACTTTCGTTAACAGGATTCCTTCAATACGTCGGATACCCTCCCACCTTGATGGTAAGCGCGCGTCAGAAGCTGCGTGCAGAGATAGTACGCCCCCCGGATGAACCTCTTGCTCTCCATCTTACATATCATGTTATCCAGCATAGAATCTACCACCTCTTTCAGATTACTTTGTATCTCATTCCGGCGGTGTATCCGTTTCTGCTCCAGGGGTCCTGGTGTCACATCCAACAATCCTTCCTTCTCCTCCACTGTTAACCGTGCCTCCGCCAGCTCCTTCACCTTCCCTTGCAACAAGGGACTTGCAAGAATCCGGGACTTCATTCGATCCGTAAACCCAGAATAGAATATGGGTTGTCCGATCACATCATCGTAGGCGCGCCAACCGGTTCCTGACATGTACAAGCTCACTTCTCGTAGGAAATCGAAAGGGTTCTCGCGAAACCTCGCCATATGGCGGACGAGGTTGCGTTCGGTAATCTGTTCATCTTGAGGTTCCAGCCCTCCAGTAACTCCACTGGGATGAATGGTGACTTTGTTTCCCACGATCTCGAGATCCGGTGCGGAGTCGCCGACCGGGGACTTATCGGAAGGCATAGCGTCTCGGGCGGGGAGAGGGGAGGGAGGGGATGTTCACTTGAGAGCTCTGTGATTGAATAAGCAAGTCGATAGATCTCAGCGGTCATAGACTGCTGGGATGGAGTCGAGCGACATCAAGAGAGAAGGAGAGCAATAATAGGCATTGTCATGATCGACCAGCGCCTGGTTCCTGAGGAGGCAAGCGAGGGTCCCAACCAGGCGAAGATCCCCGGCTTCTTCCCCAGAAATGCCTCGGGACGATTCGTGCTGCCGCCGCTCACGTGAGTCCCAACGGCCTTGCGCCCCGTGCAACCGTACGCTAGGCTGGATTGGGCAATGGCACTGGACGTCCAGGAACTTCAGTTCACCGAAAGCTTGAGGGATGAGCGCAACGCGGCAGCTCGGAGCACGCTTTTCATGCCCAAATTATCACACCACCAAGCATGCCGTCTCGGTTACATTGGTTTCACCCGGGCTGAGCATCGTCGCAGACACCAACAGCTGCGGTCTCCCTCCTAAACACCATCACTGTGGCTAATTGGGCCTGAGCTGTGCGACTTGCTCCACTGCGGGACTCTTAAGAGGCACCTGCGGTACAATCGACAGGGCCCTTCGTTGCAACCTCCCAGAACTCGCATTCACCATGTTCGGCTGGACACGGCGCTTCTCCAGTATGGAACCCCTGAACGCACAATCATTTATCCCCTGCTGCTGCTGAATGACACCTGCTAATTATCCCCTCACACATTCTCACAGCCGCCACATCTTTCCTCAAAACCACCACAATGGCCATTTCCTCCCGCCAGCAGCACACCTTCCAAGTCTTCCGCGATGTGCCCCCACTTCGCAAGCTGCGTCGAGAGCTCCTCCTCTCCAACAGGACCGTCGGTCTCGTCCCGACCATGGGTGCTCTCCACGAAGGTCATCTCTCCCTCATCCGACAAGCCGCGGCCGAGAACACCGACGTCTTCGTCAGCATCTACGTTAACCCGACACAGTTCGGTGTAACGGAAGACCTCTCCAGCTACCCGCGCACTTGGGACAGTGATGTTGCGAAGCTAGAGGAATTGAATGCGGAGCTGGCCCGCCAGAACACCAACAGCGGTCGCATCACCGCCATTCTGGCGCCTACCTCCAAGGTCATGTACCCGACGCTGCCGCCTTCGTCCGATATCGACGGCGACGGATCCTTCGTGACCATCACCCCTCTCTCCCGGAAGCTGGAGGGAGCTTCTCGGCCGGTTTTCTTCCGTGGAGTTGCGACTGTCTGCATGAAGCTGTTCAACATTGTTCATGCCGACCGGGCTTATTTTGGTCAGAAGGACGTGCAGCAAACCGTGGTCATCAAGCGTCTCGTGAAGGACTTCTACATCGACACGGAGATCAAGATCGGGGACACTGTTCGTGAACACGATGGCTTGGCAATGAGTTCGAGGAACGTTTACCTTGGCAAGAGAAGACGGGCAGTGGGTCTGGTCCTCTACGAAGCCATGAAGGCGGCGGAGAATGCCTACAACGCCGGCAAGGTCAACCGCAGTGAAATCCTTGACGCAGCGAACAGCGTCACCGAACGGGTTCTGTCTGAGCAGAAGGCCTTGGCGCCCACGGAGAGGGCTCTGTATGAGGTTGACTACATCTCTCTGGCTGATCCGGATACTCTGGACGAGCTGGAGGTTGTCGACCCCGCTAAGGGCGCCATTCTGAGTGGCGCGGTGAAGATGGCTCCGCTGGAGGAGGCGAAGCCGGGCGAGGACTGCGGCCTCGGTGATGGCCAAGTTCCTGTGCGTTTGATCGACAACTTGATCTTCAAGCCGCGGGTATAAAAAAGCTCGTTCTGTCTGTCCGTTACCCGATCCATTCAAAAGCAAGTGTCATATACCCGACGTCATTTAACTAGAACTCAATAGCGTATATAGAGTACCTAAAAGTCTATACCTTCACATACAATAAAAACAATCATACACACTACTCCAAAGCACCTAAATAACCCCATAACAAACCCCCTCTGCAATATCCAGCTATCACCCAAAAACAGAAAATAGGGCAAGATCGCAGGGTTTCGGAAGCACCCCGGCCCGAGAAAATTTCCCTCTGGAGTAAAGTAAAGTTTCTTCCCGGATCGATCCAGTACTAGAACCTCCCCCAGCAAACAACAAAAACGGAAGAAGAAAAAAGGAAAAAGAAAGGCAGGCAGGCACCTACCTACCTACCTACCCTACATCTTCCAAAATGGCCGACGACGGTCTCCTCCTCAACTTCACCATCCCCGACACAACCGTCCTCAAACCCGAAAAAACCAAAGTAAAAGGCGGCACATGGCGGGACCGACTCAGCGCAAAGAAAATCGCCGCGCACCGAACGAACAACCCGCGCAAAGAGAAATCATCCACAGATGGCGAGCAGCAACAAACTAGCAACCCCCGGAACCCGAATCGCATTCAAGTATCCGGTCCGCGGCCGGTGAAGAGACAGCGCATTGGTGACGATGATGAGAATGGAGGATCGCAGCAGCACCAGCAACCACGCCAGCAACAACAACATCCTGGGGGTCCCCGACATGTCGTATCGTCGCTTTTCTCGAAGAACCCGAGACCTCGAACCGCTTTCGAAGCGAAGAAGAACGGAGCCGAAGAAGAGGAAGACGCCAAGCCGACGAACGCGCCGCTGATTGATGGACTGGACACATTCACGAACCTGGGACTATCGGCACCGCTGGCGGCGCATTTGCTGACGAAGCTGGAGGTGAAGGCGCCGACGGCGATTCAGAAAGCGAGTATCACGCAACTATTGAAGGAGGAGAGCGATGCGTTTATACAGGCGGAGACGGGATCCGGAAAGACGATGGCGTATCTGTTGCCGCTTGTACAGCGGATCATGACGATTTCGCTGAATCAGAAGAAGAGGGAGGAAGCGGAGCAAGTGCAGCGCGATAGTGGGTTATTTGCTATTGTGTTGGCGCCGACGAGAGAGTTGTGTAAGCAGATTTCGGTGGTGTTGGAGGGGTTGTTGCGGTGTGCGCATTGGATTGTGGCGGGGACGGTGATTGGAGGAGAGAAGAAGAAGAGTGAGAAGGCACGGTTGAGGAAAGGGTTGAATATTCTGGTTGCGACGCCGGGTCGGTTGGCGGATCATTTGGAGAATACGCAGGCCTTGGATGTGAGTAATGTGCGGTGGTTGGTGTTGGATGAGGGAGATCGGTTGATGGAGTTGGGGTTTGAGAAGGAATTGGCGGGGATTATTCAGAAGCTGGATGCTAGGCAGCGGCCGAGTCGGATTCCTGGGATTCCGGCAAAAAGGACGACGATATTGTGTTCGGCTACGTTGAAGATGACGGTGCAGAAGCTGGGAGAGATCAGTTTGAAGGATGCGGTGCATATTCAGGCGGATCCGGCGGATGAGGATGGCGAGCCGAGGAAGAAGGATGAGGATGATGCGTTCCGCGTGCCGGCACAGCTGAAGCAGTCGTATGCGATTGTCGCGTCGAAGCTACGGCTTGTTACGCTTACGGCGTATATGAAACGGACGTTTATGAGGAAGGGGTCTGTCATGAAGGCTATTATCTTTGTGTCTTGTGCGGACTCTGTGGACTTTCACTTTGAGGTGTTTACACGGAAGAATGGAGATGAGGAGGAGAAGAAGGAAGAGAGCGAGGATAGTGATGAGGAGGATGAAGAGGAGAAGAGGAAGAAGCTTGGTGCTTCGGCTCATGGAACTATCGCGCCTGCTACGGCCTTTTCGAATCCCTCCAACCCGGTGACGCTGCATAGACTGCACGGTTCTCTGCCTCAGCATGTCCGGACGGCCACCCTGGGTGCCTTTGCCCGCAATCGCGAACCATCCGTGCTTATTTGTACTGACGTTGCGTCCCGTGGTCTGGATCTGCCGAACGTTGATCTGGTCGTGGAGTACGACCCTGCCTTCAGCGCCGAGGACCATCTGCACAGAATCGGACGTACTGCGCGTCTGGGACGTGACGGTCGTGCACACATCTTCCTCATGCCCGGCTGTGAGGAGGGTTACGTCGACATTCTGAAGAAGGGATACCGTGACGGCGGAAAGTCGCTGACACGCAACACCGCGGACGACATTCTGAAGCGCGGCTTTGGAGGAAATGTCGAGTCACAGAACGTAGACTGGGAGGAGAAGGCCACCGAATGGCAGCTGGATGTGGAACGGTGGGCATTGGAAAACAAAAACTACCTCGAAATGGCCCGGCGAGCTTATCAGTCTCACATTCGCGCCTATGCCACACATATCGCCAACGAGCGGAGCATGTTCAACATCAAGGAGCTTCATCTCGGACATCTGGCGAAGAGTTTCGCTCTGCGTGATCGTCCCAGCAAGATCAACGTTCCTGGTCTCCGCCAAGGACAGGCCGACACCAAGAAGGACTTCAAGGCCGACCGCAAACCAGTCGCTGGAAAGAAGAGAAAGGCTGGTGGTCACGATGACGACGACGACGATGCTCCTCGTCAAACGGACACTCTCACGGCAGCTCAGAAGATGAGGGCCAAGATGAAGGAGCACATGGCGGGAGCAAGCGAGTTCAATCTTGCTTGATCGGCAACACACATGTAAATAGTAATTGACGACAAATCAATAGATATCCCACAATGAGATTTTTCCGTCCTTTGACCCAGCCGCTAACCAATGCGTATTCTGCACCTTCTCGTATCTTTGGCGATGCACCGTTGCAAGCGAGTATTCCGTTTCTGCCCGTGTGGCGAGCTGTGTCTCATTCCCACTGCTGTTCGACGAAACCTCAGGCTGCTTTTCTTCATCTGCTTTCTCGGACACATCAAATACATCAACATCCGCAAACGCCACAGCGTAGCATCCATCTTTATGCCACTTCAAGACAGCTAGTTCCTTCATCGTCTTGCACGAGTAGACCCTGACCCTAGAATCCCACCCCGCAGTAGCGAAAATCTTCCCATCAGACCGTATCCGCACACCTTGCTGGCCCGCATGCTTCGTATTGATCGACTTGATCGGCAACTCTTCCGGGGCATGTCCAGGGCTACCCAGCGTCGGAATGGGATGCTTCGCCAGCACCGCATCGGCCGAGGAAGAAAAGAAGTAATTGCCAGCAGGCGAGACATGAAGCGACAACACCGGTTGCGAGTGAGCGCGGCAAATATACAGCTTTTCCCACTTCCACGGCGTTTTGGCGCTCTGCGTGAAGTCTTTCTCCTGCAAGGATCCCCTGCAGCCATGAACCATAACGCGACCGTCTTCGTAAGCGGAAGCAACGTATAGCTCCCCAGATGGAGATATGACGAGGTTGGCCGCCATGACCATTCCGGTCTGTACGTCCGTGTCTGCTGGGATGGTGCAGATACGTCTCTCCTGGGGGAGATGGAAGAGATCGATCGCGCCAGAGTTCAGAGCGTTAGGGACAGCGATAAGCACAGCTGAAAGCGAAGTGTTCTCTTTCGAGGAGCCACCGGCATCGCTTGCCATGTTGGCCTTTTCCTGGGGAAGGAAAACCATGGAGAAAGCACAGAAATTCAGCGCATTTACTGGAAGCGAATGCACCAGCCATGGCTGGCTTGCGGCAGCTGATGAGGTTTTGTCGATGTCCACGGGGAGGGTCTTCTGAAGATTTTCCTCGTCCTGGACGCTGAATCTCCAGACGCGCAGTTTATGGTCTCTTCCATGCCTGTAGAAGAAGTTAGATGATTCATGGGAAGAATGGGGAGGTAACGCACGTGAACACCTCTGTAACAGCACCGTTTCCGAAGCTAAAACCTTTGACTTCAAGGACAGCGCCGTCATGGGCCTTCCATGTCGCCCGAGGGCGTTTTGATACTAGATCCCATACGACAATCCATCCGTCTGCGTCTCCTGAAACAAGCCTTAGGTTCTGGTGGAAGATCTGTAGCGCGTGGATGGCAGCGGCATGGCCGCGTAAAATGTAAGTGGGGGTTGCCGGTGGTTGCCGCACCTGCGGAGATTGTGCGCTCATTTGGTGGCTCTGGTTTTCTTATTGTGTATGATATTGGTGTAGTGTGTATGATAAGTCTGTTTCAGTCAGATTATTTGTTCATTTAGTTGTCATGGTACTGCCGTGCGATTGAGTGAGAGAAGATGCCGAACGGGAATTCAGAATGACTGCGGTCTTGGCAATATGTCTGGTCTCCGCCAGCATAGATGGATGTTACCAGCTACATTGTATTACAGTGTGCGGGTGGTAATGAATGCACTAATCTCTTGTTTCTTATTGAGAGAATTTGACAAGCACTTCTGGCTTCTTAGTAATCGATGCTGATGTAGACAAGCACTGCTACATGCTAGCCCATCCACTACTTCAACTAGTACTATCTGGTAAGTATCAATAAAGCAGTTGAAGCAAGATCCCGTCTGCTAACTAGAGCTGAGCTATGAGCCTGAAACAGCCATAAGATCAGTACTATCGTTTACGAAGGGCTTGCTCAAGTTCCTCAGAAACGGGTCGGTACTCGGCAAGCAAGCGACTTCCTCGCCCGTTCTGATCTTCCATGCTTCGCAATTCGACCTCCTCCGCTCGCGCAACTCTCGCCTCCATTAGCCTCGCCTCGTTCAACAACACTGCGGGATGCCAGATACTAAGCGTGACATTGGCGATAAACATAGGCAGCCCATCGAAAAGACAACCTAAAACTTCATATGTGAAGGAATAACCACGCCATCCATTCGTAGACTCCACGGCGCGGTAGGTATCCCGAACCGTTAAACAAAGTAAAGCAAACGGAAGTACACCTATCATTTTGATCATTGGCATCCTCCAGATGAGCCGATCTTTTGTACGAACTATGAGGCACTTGAACAACACCGCGAAGATACTAAGCGATGCGAGTTGCAGGTGACTGCCTGCGTACAAAATATTTATTCCCAGACTGATTGAGTCGTCAACACTGGAGGCCTTGTGTGCCAGCGAGCCCCCAATGACCTGCAGGATGAGGCTAAGAAGCGCGATAAACATGCACGTAATCGCCCACCGTTTCGGCCTGAACGGCAGTCGAACTTGTTTTATAATTGCGTACATGAGGTCTAGGACTCCGTAGATTCCGACGGTTGTAAAGTATGGAGCTAGTTGTATGCTTTAGCCAGGGTTGTTGCCAATGTAAACTCATTGAATTGTATACTTACCAGACATCAAAGCTGACAGCTGTATTGCCCATATGGTGGAGTTATATGGACAGCGGTAAGCCATAGCACGAGCAAGCCATCCGATAAACTCAAGGGCAGCTCCAAGTGATAGCACCAATCCTATCCAGGGATATATGGTGTTGCATGCTTGCGAAACATGGGTTGTTAAGACACCAAGAAAAGCAATCGTGAAAAGGATTCCAGCTGTGATAGAAGGGCGATAACCGAGCAGCGGTGCAACCTCCGGATCGAATGAATAGCAGTTCCACGTTGACATGATGTCCGGTGTGGTTAGGGGAATCTTGCTCGTACTTGTAGGAAGTTCGTTAAGTAGGAGAAAAGGAAGAAGACACATCTTTCGATCGAGACTGCAGAAGGTAGCCTTGGTATCAGTAAACGGCAGGTGCGTTGAGGCTGACAGTTGCAGCAACAGCCAAGAGTAAGAAAGGAAGCTGCTCCTGGCCAACTCCCAGCCGGCACCATAACTAGCAATTCCATCTACGGCCAGCGTAGGATGTCTAACATATAGTCGCGCACTTCATTCTAGTCTCAGTTAGTGTTCAGTGCTGGTTTTCATGGTAGGAGTACCGCAAGGGAGTGGAGGTCCCACAAAAATAAGAGACGCTATGTGCCCTGCTCAGATCGATAGAAGGCATTAGATGTGTACGCAGAGAGCGGATGGAGAAGCACATGGAAATGAATGACCTCAGGTGTTAGATGGGAAGGATAGGGAGGCAGAAGGAAGGACAGAAAGTCAAAGTAGGATAGAGGTGTGAAGAAGGGGAGAGAGCGAGAAGAGGAGACGAAGGTAATAACAGGCAGCGAACGTCCCCTCAGCGAGACTAATGAGTGACAGTTCTCTGTAGGTAAGCAGAACATCATAGCTAGGTGAGGTCTGATTCTGATTTATCTGATGTCACAAATTGCAAGATGTAAGAATCCGTTTTCACTCCCAGGAGTGTATTGATATTTGTGTCAGGCTGAGGGTGTATTAGATGACTGTAAGTAGTGACGAGTTTCATGGCGATGCAGTATAGCAAGGTAGTGCTAGTAGTATTTTGAGATGAAAGTAAAGATAATTCGCGCTCTCAAACTTCCAGCCTGTCAGGTGATAATGTCATCATTGCAGCTTTTGACTTCATTATTCTTTCATGTTTGGATGTCGAGATAACATAGAAGTCAAAATGAACTCATAATCAACCATTGGAATCCAGAAGCCAGGTAACCAGAATATCCCATGATGCATCTTTTGATAGGAAATTCCTTTCCGGGTTAGTAACTCCCATAGCTAACAATTGGAATACATGATATAAGCTGAAGAAGAGGGAGAAGTAGAAGAACTACAAATATCCCGCAGCGGAGTGAGGATCCGCCAGTTGGCCCGGGCAACACCGCCCTCGTGATTGGCTTCAAGCTGTAACTGCTGCTCTCAATTGTCGCATCATCCCATCACCACCAAATCATTCCCCTCTCCATCTGAGCTGTTGGTTTCTCGCCGGCCCTCCTCTCCTTCCCCTCCTCCTTTCCTTTCTTCTCCTCAATTTCTCCCTTTCTCTTCCTTTCCCCGTCATCCTCGCACCAACTCTTCATATATCCTCTCCCTCATTCCCCACCTGGGCTCTCCACGCCTGGTGTCCGCTCCGGCGTCTAACTCCGCGACACAGCTACAGCTAAAACCATGCCAAGTAAGTCTGCTATGGTCGTGGCTCCCGCGGAGCTCCTGTGTCTCGTCTTCTTCCAAGCTAATATAATTTCTCTGTCACAACAGTCCGTCCGCTTGATGAATGGGCCGCGACCCGCACCCAGTCCCTCCCCCTCTCAGCTCTCAAAGGGGCGGTTGTCGGTATCGATGCGTCGCACTACATTTCTCAACACCTCCTCCAACCGTCTACGCGCGAGCCCCTTCTGGTCGCCCTCGGCGGCTTTCCATTCGCACTGAAGAGCAACATTGAAAGAGAACTGAAGGCCTACAAGGATCTGGGCGTGGCTTGTATTTTCGTGTTCAATGGTCTCGACTTTGGCAAAAAGGATCAACGACCCCACGTGCAGCAGGAGTCGGTCCGGGCATTCGAGCAGGCCTGGGATCTTTACGATCAACAGCAGGCGGACCAAGTGGTGGATGCGTTCAGCAGCGCCGGTATGTTAATGGTGGAATCCGACCTTTGAGAGCGTCTGGTCCTGACTGTCGTCTGTCCTAGGCACCCCTCGACCCGAGTCGCTATACCGCTTCTTGCAGCGCATACTTCTTCAACATGGCGTGGATTACATCGTTGCTCCCTATAGTGCTGCAGCTCAGGTACGAATGCCGCTGCCTCGGTTGGCACCATTTGCGCCTTTCTGACCTTTGTGTATTATAGCTCTCCTACCTGGCCAAGGGACCGAACCCGCTGATCGATGCTATCTGCGGCCCCTCCGAAGTGTTGATGTTCGACGTGGAAAAGCTGATCACCCGCATTGAGATTGACCCGGCGCAATTTTTCTGGATCAACAAACAGACATGTCTGGAAGAACTAGGCCGCCTATCAAATGATCAGTTCTTGGACTTTTGCCTTCTCTTGGGCTCTTCCTTCCTCCAGCCCTTCCCTGGGTTCGAAACCCATGTCTTCCCCGGAAAGAACCCGACGGTCCGAGATGCGCTGCCAATGTTCAACGCGGCAGGACGAAGCGCTCTCGCTCTCTGCGCTCAATTTGAAGAGGATCGCCGGATGCAGGAGCTCGAATACACGGATCGTTACAAGCGCGCATGCATGACTGTGAAACACCATGTCTATATTGATGTTGACGGCAGAGTAGGTCCTATGGACCAGGAGAATGCCTCGTCCGATATGCACGCAGTGATCGGCCTGCGCCTCCCAGAAGAGCTTTACTTCTACTTGTCCAAGGGAATTCTGGGCCCTGATGTGCCCAACTATCTGACGTCGGGTGAAGTCCTCATCTCATTGCCGTTGGGCGTTGAGGACACGGAGATTTACCGCCAAGTTGCCGGCAGCACCCTCACACCCATCCGGACTCAGTCGATTTGCCTGCTATCGAACTCCCTCCATCGGTTCTATCAGACCAAGGTTATCAATGTGCGAACATGGTTTGATGAGAAATCCCCTTCGACGATCAACCTCCGAGATCTTCCTCCAGTCAAGGATTCGATCCAGTCTTGGAAGATTCCCACCGAGCAGCTTCCAGAGAGCTTGCAGAAACTGCAGGCAAGTGTAACCTCCGTTACCATTGTACGCGCTGCTAACCAAAGATCAGGGCTCGTGCGGACGCTTCCAATTTGCTGTCCAGAGCTTGAAAGATAGTGACTTTGTAGCGAAGTCCAAGGCTACGAAAGACACTAAGGTAGGCATCTTTGCCCCAGATCGCAATCGAGTGAGCTGACACATGCTAGCAATTATCGTCACAAGATGAGCTGCTTGCCAATGTCTTCTGGCGCTTCCTACAGCTTCGCGGCTACATTGATGAGAAACATCAGCTGACCCAGTGGGGTGTCTGCCTTGAGCAAGCATTGTCGGGACTTGATCCGGCGGATGCGCTTGAGGAGCCAACATTCCTTGCCATTGAGATGATCCGGTTCGGCCTGCTTAACTCCAAGCAATGGTTCTCCCATGTTTCGGGAGGTCCTATGAGAGGATCAGGTAAGTTTGAGGTTTCTGTAGTCATGAAATGATGCTGATCCAATCTACCCCAGACGAGGATAAGAGTCTCAACATGCTTGTTTCCCGCCTTGCTTGCATCGCCAAACTCCAGCACAAGAGCATCGGTTATTCTGGACCACTAAGCCGGCAACTGCTCTGCTACCGATCCCTGATCTCCGAGGTTCGTTCTACGCTACGGACGCTCATTGAGGTGGTTCTGGCCAGTCTGCTCCTGAGCGGCGATGCTGACCGGGAGCGAAACGATTGGGGCGAACTGAGCATCAAGTAAGTGGACATGTGGACATGATGCGCCATGTGACGTGATCTGACGCAACATAGGCTTCCGTTCATCGACGACAACGACTGCGGTCTTGGAATTGCTGTCCGTACCTACCTCGATGATCTGCCCTTGCAAGCGGATCCCACATCGCCAGAGGCACGGGCAGAAGTGAAATCGAAGGGCAAGGAATGGTTCCAGCATAGCGACAGCTTTACGGGCAACCTGGACATGGCGTTTAAGCTGTGGGATGCGGTGAGTCTGAACTGTCTATCTTTGCCGGCATATTTACTCATCTACTTCCTAGGTATACCGCGGTACGCAGAGCGCAGGCAAGGAACTTAAGGAGGGTAAGCAGTGGGAGGATGCGAACCGCTGGTTGGCCGAGCGGCGTTAAGGGACTTGTATAGAGTATCCTCCTAGAACCCGAGGAAACACTACTTGTCCACGATTTCACGAACCATGGCAGTCGTGCGGCTGGGTGGTCCAGGACCACCTGAAAGCCTCGCCCAATTCTACTCCAACCACGTTGTATAATTAGGAATTGAAGGGGCTGGCAGGCGCTACACCAGTATTATTATTCCCCCGCGTAGTCAGAACCTGCAAGAGAGCGTAGTGGCGAATACAACGATATATTTAGCCGTAAAGCCGCTGATGGAGCTGGAGTTGATTAGTGATGCTTAACTTACCAAGTGTCCTCTTCCGACCCGCTCGGTCTCCGCAGCGCTTCCGCCTTCCACGCCGGGAGCTCATACGACTATATCTACACTCCGCCCAGCAACCACCCCTTCCTCGCTGAACGGACAGACCTGGTATTGACAAGTATATTGTCAATTGCCCTACTTCAGCCTCTCCCTTAACTCAAACAACACCACCCATCATGGTCCGTCTCAGCAACCTCGTGAGCTGCCTCGGCCTAGCCTCCGCGGTCACCGCAGCCGTGGTCGATCTCGTCCCCAAGAACTTCGACGACGTTGTCCTCAAGTCCGGCAAGCCCGCTCTGGTTGAATTCTTCGCTCCCTGGTGCGGTCACTGCAAGAACCTCGCGCCCGTCTATGAAGAGCTGGGCCAGGCATTCGCCCACGCCTCCGACAAGGTGACCGTCGGCAAGGTTGATGCGGACGAGCACCGTGACCTGGGCCGCAAGTTCGGCGTGCAGGGATTCCCCACGCTGAAGTGGTTCGATGGAAAGAGTGATGAGCCGGAGGACTACAAGGGTGGTCGTGATTTGGAGAGTCTGTCTTCGTTCATCTCTGAGAAGACCGGCGTCAAGCCCCGTGGACCTAAGAAGGAGCCCAGCAAGGTGGAGATGCTGAACGACGCGACTTTCAAGGGTGCTGTTGGTGGTGACAATGATGTTCTGGTTGC